GCTAGAAGCTAACAGTAGCAGAACACCAGCTTGACGCCAACAGTAGCAGAACACAGCTAGAAGCTAACAGTAGCAGAACACCAGCTAGAAGCTAACAGTAACACCAGCTTGACGCTAACAGTAGCAGAACACCAGCTTGACGCTAACAGTAGCAGAACACCAACTAGGAGCTAAGAGTAGCAGAACACCAGCTAGAAGCTAACAGTAGCAGAACACAGCTAGAAGCTAACAGTAGCAGAACACAGCTAGAAGCTAACAGTAGCAGAACACCAGCTTGACGCCAACAGTAGCAGAACACAGCTAGAAGCTAACAGTAACACCAGCTAGAAGCTAACAGTAGCAGAACACCAGCTAGAAGCTAACAGTAACACCAGCTAGATGCTAACAGTAGCAGAACACCAGCTTGAGGCTAACAGTAGCAGAACACAGCTAGAAGCTAACAGTAACACCAGCTTGACGCTAACAGTAGCAGAACACCAGCTTGACGCTAATAGTAGCAGAACACCAGCTAGAAGCTAACAGTAGCCGACACTGCTGAGCCTCTCCTCTTTACAGTCCCTCCTGCAGGTGGACCTGGACTCTGGTTCAGGACTGAGTGGACTGTGGTTCAGGTTCAGGATCAGGACTCAGTGAAGCAGACCTGTCAGCTCTGTACAGAAACAGGTTTATTAGTTTCTACAGTTATAGCAGGTTCAGGTTCATGGCTTCACAACATGAGCAGAACTGGAACATAGAAAAGGGCGTGGCCACCTCTGTATTTACACAAAGCAGGGTGAAATAAAAGCATGTGACGGACTCTGTAGCACTGAGGGGATGGACAACATCTAGCTTCAGGTGGACTGGTTCATTTTGTACAGGCAGAGGAAGAGGAGCATCGTCTTCCTCTGATCAAACACAACGAGGGTTTGAGAGAAAAAAAACTTTTAAAGCTGCAAATAAAGTCAGAAACAAAGAATCCCTTTAAACTTCAGCTCAGGTGTAACAGCCACCCCCCCCCCCCCCCCCAAGCCCCAAACTAAAGAGGTTTTAAATGAAAAATAACTTGTGTAAATAAGAAACAAACCCTGTAGTAAATCTGTACAACCAAAGCCCAGGCAGGGGGGTCTACATCTAAAGGGACATAATTCAGGGTATATACACGGCCCCCCCTCATATATTAGCTTTACTTCATTCAACCCAAACATTTAGAGAAAACAAATGGATCACATCAAACATTCATTAAAAACCTGCTCTTCCTGATCAGTCTCTGTACATGAACCCACAGCAGGGATAAACCCGGGCTGGATGGACTGGGTCAGGGTCTGGGTCAGGGGGTAAAGAAACGAGGGGAATGATAACGGAGCGATGAAGGCTCCTCTTCATCGGTGAAGGAGAACAAAACCCGGATGACAGTGCGACTGGAACAGGAAGCATGTGAACCAACAGAACCTAAACTTGGGCTCACTTCGGCCTCTTCACTGAAGAGAGCTACACCGCTGCGTCTGGGGCCGGCGTGGACAAACAGCTGATAAAAACAAAACCTCCGCTCCTCCGGTCACCTCAGAAAAATAATGGAAAAACTACGTTGTACAAAGTGAGGCTCTCTCCATCTCTGCGAGAGAAAAAGTAAAATCAAATCAAGGAGTTGTGCTCGCCGCCTCTCAGCACACGTCCATGAGCTCCTGCAGCTGCGCAGATCCTCAGTCAATCTTCACGTTTGTGTAAATCTTCCTCACAAAGGCACTTGTTCCCATGTAGCCAACAGCACCTGAAACAGCAGAACCAACTTCAGCTGGACACAAACAACTTTATCACAATTTAAAACAGAACAAAAGGAAACCCTACCTCCAGTTTCATACAGACTTCAAGATTTTTCAGCCTTTGCAGTCTTTATACACATCAGTAAAACGATCATTGGACTGTTCATTTTATTTTAACAACATATGTACTAAAAGGTATTTTGACAACAAATGTAGCAGCATCAAATGAATTCTAACATTTTACACATAGTCCACCAGGAGGTGCCAACACAAAAGTCAGAGACTTCCCATGAGATTTGGACCATCTTGTGGGGGAAAAGCAGATTACTTTCTACTCGCGAGCGCCCCCTCTGGTGGGGAAACTTTTTTCAAGGATACAAACTTTTTCAGAACACCGGTAGACGGCAGCCATTACAGACGAACATGTGTTTGTTGTTGTTCCAGGAGCGGCCCGGTTACACACGAATTACTAAGGTGCAGGACTGCCAGGGGTGTCACTAGGTTTTAAGGACAAGGGGGGCTTAGCCCCCAGGAGACGCACAAAATGTTTGTATATTATATACTTGTAGTGTGTGTGTATTTTTTATATATATATATATAT